ATTTTATAATTAATGGTTCAATAAATTTATTTTTCATACTACTTTTTAAAAAATACAAACGACAGATTCTGACACCGATTTGCGGATAAGATACTAGAGACGGTCTCTCTAGTATTTTATACGTAAATCGGTATATAAGCCAGAGAAAAATAATGTTTCTTCGTTCAAGGTTACTCGTCTTTAATACGCAGAAAGCTTTTTTCATCGTTCAGAAACAAGCAATACTGAAAAAATCAAATCTAAAAATACCAATTAGCTTGGGGCCTCTTAAGGTCGAACAGCCTTTATTTGCGTGACTAAATTTTAGCGTAATTATGTACTAAATTACACTGTTGTCGGTAATTTTTGAAGCCATGACCTTTAGGCGTTAAAACAAATGTAAACAGTACTTATAAACAGTTTAAAAGGATATCATCAGTTAATCTAATATACCAGTAATATAATTTTGGAATTCAAGAAAAACAAACTGCTATCTGTTCAAATATTTTTGGTCCAATTCATTGTCGTATTTATCCATTTCATACTGTCTTGAGGAAGTTCCTACTTTAACTTTCTGAGGTGTACCCCTAAAATACCCTTAAAGTAATGCTACTCTTTTATGTACTTTTGGTAACTTGTAGGTATCTTTCCAATGCTCTTAATGTGTGAAGTAGTTAGTTGGCTTGTAAGGGTCTATGACTAACATGACTAACAGGGCAAGTGTTATTATGTTATGTTTCAGTTTATTTTATTTTAATTACATTCTACTTTTTTTTTCTGCCGTTGTTTCGAGAGGTCATCAAATCGTTTCTATCGACATTGCTGAAATATGACCTCATTATAGGCCCTGCGGCTTTCTTACAGACGTCGTTTTAAACAGTAAATATCAAACGTGTGCTGCTTTTAATCGCCCGTTATTTATGTCAAACTTCAAAAACTCAACCTGTAAAACCATGATTTTACGAATCAGTTACGTTTATAAGGTGAGTCGATAATTGATACACGTCCTGTTCTGACGTATATTGGCGATTTGCAATTGTAATGGAAATGTTAAATACATAAAAAGAAAATATTTTCAGTCACTCATTTTTTTTTAGTCTTTACTTAGGGGCTTTACTTTGATCTATGATAAAGTTTCTATGTATTGTAGTTTTATGATTATTCTTCTTGTGTAGAAATATGTTTTGGGGTTTCTTTTGTGCTTGTAATTTGCTTAGTTTGACAATATAATGGTTATAAGTTTTATACAACTAGACTAGCACCTGTTCGAATATATACATATATATATATTCATACGGGAAAAGAGTTTTCAGTAGGTAGGTAGACACTTCTCAAAGACGGCTACACTGAAATCCATTACAATATATTTTCGTCTATAATACAAAAATACATGAGAAAAATTAACCTTAAAAACAAGTTTCTTCATTTTGTATTCAATTAATATGACCTATTTTCACTCATAAACTGTTTTTAATTCAATTTTTTGTTTAAAATTAGTTGAAGCATTTGTATTTAAAGATAAGCCTAGGCTAAACAAACATACAATTTATCGGGTTGTACGAGTAGGCATACATCGAGTGCGTACAAGTTTCGCTGAATAAATATTTACATAATTCTATCATGAACTAACCATTGTAGCTTCACAAAATGTATAAACAGAGTTAGCGACTACCAGCATTATGCATTATCGTCTAACAACATCTGAGTAACCTATTTCCCTCGCTACGGTCTCACAACTTGCGTGGAATATTGAATAGTCTACACACGAATTTTTCCCACCATCATTACAATAGAAAATAGATTATTGTTTATGAATACATCGTATATTAATCATGTTCCAGAATATGTGGGTCAGATTTAAGACGCGTGAACGTTGTAATAACTTCAATGTATACAAAGAAAATATTGCTGAATCGATCGATTATCAATATTTATTTTATTCATCGATATTCGGGATATTTTAACATCCACTTTTACATCGTGTTTTCACTATTAGGTACGATTAGGTTCTAAATTTCTAGCGTTTAAAAAAACTATTCATGGTCAAGTACTTATTGCAAGTCCTACTATTTACTTGTAAAGGCAGGTTCACATCAATACTACTGTAGCTTCCAGGAACTGGTTAACTAAAGTTTTTTTTAATACTTAACGAACTTTTTAGTATCTGCATAAGTGTCAAACTATAACATCGAATTTGGCTCAAAATGTTTAATTATAAATAAAACTTATTTTTAGTATCTAAACAGTTCTTACAGTATTTTAAATCGTCATTAGTCTAAAATTTGTAGAATGATCAGTAGCAGTAGTAACTCCAGTATTTCAATCTAATCATCCAATTCACCCATCCTTAACTCTCAAAGCTTCTGATAGATGATAATAGGTTTGTTATAACCTGTTAGGGACTACATGGTGTTTAATACTCCTCAGCCTACATACACACAGACACAGGCGTGATTGAATGTTATAAAAATTATGTTTTAGTTTGGTGTATAATATTGAGTGAGAAATATCTACTTATGGTAATGTAGAAAGCTGATTATTAGCTGTGTTATTGATAGAATTACACACTCTCGCAAGATCCTCATCGTGTGTTTCAAAACACAACATACAATACGTTTGGAAAACATCTGCGTGCCTTAATAAAATATATTTTATGATGGCTAGGTTAAAGGTTATTAGGAATTCGCAAAAGAAAATCTATATTCTATTCAAGCGAGCTTAGTGAAAATGTAAACAAATTTCTACCTGTGTTATATAATTTCTATTGTATTCTGTGCATTTGACAGTCTAACAATGGAATTATCTGAAACGAGGGTACAGTGGATACATTTCATCTCAAGGTTTTTGAATAAACTATTGGTTATTTTTAGTTGACTTTCGTTACATGAATGAACTATTCAAATTCTATGAAAAAACATAGTATGCTCGTTTTTATTTATGAACTTATCCTATCATCATTAATAAGAGCAATGATTCATTACGTTTTACATACACGTTACAAGGATTCGGAAAGGAACAAAATATGGTAGGAACACTGTGGTGTAAAAGTAGTGCTATTGAATCATATTATAATTTATTTAGTTTATCGCCAGGGAAGGTGCTTAAAAAAGTATTTGGTTAATGTTTCCTCTGTATTTTCGGGATATCATAATTCGTTGTCCTAAATTCTTAAGTAAAAGACTATTACGCAAAATCAATTCTATACTACACTAAAATAATAAATTCGAAGAGTTTCTTTGTTTGTTAACGATCTCGTCTCGGGAATTACCAATCGAACTCAAAAAACTTTTGGCATTGGATTAAGTGTTTATCGAAGAAGGCTGCGGGCAATATAATATCACGCTACGAATATTGGAGTGGAGCAGTTTTTATAAACGCGGTTGTTTTTTTTTTCTATACACAAGGTGCTAAAGGAATAGACGGGTCACCTGATTGTAAATGATACCTGAAACCTAAGTGGCACTGGTGCGTTGTTGCACTTTGACACTCTACGCCCCTCTGCTCCCAATATTATGGGAGAGGGAGAGGGGGGGGGGGGAGGATTATTCGTCCGGTCCGGATCACTCGGTGAAAAGAAACGAAAGAATTGTTTAACACTACATTTTTCTGTGAGGCCGAGGTGTCATTCCGGTTGGGTCGGCCCACCATAACCGCGGGAAACGGCCAGTATTCGGATAAATTTTCAAGTAGGTATTGCTGGCGTTCTCCACAATGTCTAATTATTATGACTCGTAAATTGATCCTAATCGTAATTATGTTGAAGCTGCGCTCTAAGGTATACAAACGTTTCGCGTAACTGTGGAAATACAGCAACAAATAGAGAATGCGGAAAATTGTTTGTTTGCTCTCAAATGTGTTTAGAACAGTCGTAAATCTTTGAATTTTCAAACAAACTTTCGTTTAATATAGACTAATCGCCTATGCCTAAATTAGTAGTACCTAAATTTAAACTACGCTTTAAGTGTTTTTTAAATACTATGTTTATTATTGTATGTTTATTGTTTGTTACTACGTTCAGTTTAGACTGCTAATAATAATAATCCCTACTAATATTATAAATGCGAAAGTAACTCTGTCTCTCCTCTGTTACGCTTTCACGGCTAAACTGTTGTACCGGTTTTAATGAAATTTGTCATGGAGATACTTTGATTCTTGAAGAAGACAGGCTACTAAGGCTAGGCTTTGCGCCGCGATAATTGTTAGTTTCGGGCGTTTTATTCTATTTGGAGTAACAAAAAAGCAGTACCAATATGGTTAACAAGTCCTCCTATTTATTTATGCACCACAAATGGCATTACACCAGGGCATTTAATAAATTAAATTAACAATAACATAATGACCTCATTACATAACTGGTTACTGAGTCTTCGAAAACAGATTTATATTAGTTCATCATCATCATCATCATCATCAAAAGCCTTCAATAGTCCACTGCTGGACATAGTCCTTTCCTTAGAAAGGAGGTACATTAGTTAATCTTCTTTAACTATACCAAAAATAAATGTTGAATTAACGACCCTGTATCAATGAATTAACGCATTCAATAGGTTTTACATACATCTAAGTTGTCTGAAAGGAGTCAGCCTATGGCCATACTGACTCCTTTTAGGCAATTCAAAGATAGTATCGGTAAAATATTACCTATTAATTGCGTAAATTCCATAATAAAATATTATTATACCATAAAATGCAAAAGCTTACAAGTTACTTAACGATCATATTTATACCCAGGTACGCGCGATGTATGTATATATCTTACTGTAATGATGACTGCAGTGGATAATAATTTATTAACGTGAATGTATTGTCGTGACGTCATAACTAACGAATTAGCCGAATGTAGGACAATAATCGCGTGACCCGCTTCCGACATTTTAAACCTAGCTACCTCATATTGAAAAATAAAGAACAACAATTACGTAGCGGTTTGTTATGCTATGGGTTTGAAGTAAAAATAGTTTGATAAACTGTGAACTATGGAAGAGGTTTAGCAATCCAATCGTTGTACAGACTAACACACGATGTACATGAGATCGGTCGATGGTACTTACTCATTGATTACCAGTTTGTAAGTTATTTTGAACCATACAGCAAGAATATAGAAGGTTGTCCAGATGACAGTGACAGCCAGTGGTTACTGGTAATCTCTTACACACACTTACTTGTATTGAAATATTTACTTAGGTATAGATTAATATCAAAAAGGACAGTTATAAAATATGTAATTTGTTATGACTTGTTTACATTTAATACAAATTACAATCACACATACAGATACAAATAGACTTACCTACATTTAAGCCTTTATACACGAGCAAGTAAACAAATGGTAAAACATTACTTTTCACTCTTTAATAAATGATTATTGGAAACATAACGTTTTAATTATAAAAGGTATATTAAATTTGTAAGGGTCTAATTAATAAAATTGTTTTGTTTTTAATGAAAATGTTTAACAAAGTCTTGATTAATATTAACTTGTGTATTTTATAACAATATTGTGTTAACAGAAGTTTCCTCGGAACCTTGCTACGTACCTAAATTTGATTAATACGTTATTAGAAATAATTTCTCATGGGTTCAACAAGTATTAAATTAACCCTTTCTATTGTCACTTACAACTAAACCCTTTTTGTTTGCAAGCTGTGCCTATCCGAGCTTTTTAATATTAAATTGAAATTTTACTAACTAATCCCTTGTGTTGCAAGTTTTGAGTTATCTTTTATGAATATAGTCTATGTTTTTACGTATTTCAGCACTAGGTACAAATTTAAATTTACTCGTATGGTCATCACACTATGACAAATAGTGGACATCACCGATGTACGCAAAAACAGTTCCCTGCTCTGAAAGTCTTCGCCCTCTTTAACTTTTAATTAAAAGTACAACTAAAATTTTGATAACATTGGTTATTTTTACTTCAGTTATTGTTTAATTCGCATTCATGAACGTGACCGTGCATCGTAGTAAAGTTTAAGAGTGTTGTACTCACAACGACCAAAGAAAAAAAAAAATATTTTCAATCTTTTAAAAATATTCGGCTCGATTATTTTCAGTTGCAAGAACATCATAAACCAAAACAGCTTAACAAATTATGATTTATAGCTGTACAGGGCCACACTTCGCTGTGGCACATTGTGATTGCATAGATGAGAAATGAGAGACAAAGCTGTCTTAAAATTAATTACAATCTTTATGCGTGTGTGTGTTTATTTTTTATATTTATAGTATAATAATAATAATAATAATAATATAATTTATTTCAGAAATCTTGTTCCATATACAAAAACAATAATTAATTACATCATATCATCAATCACAATTTACTTAAAAATAAATAAATAAATAAAATGAATTAATATTTGAAAAGATTATTACATTACTTCATTGATTAAGATTAAAATTAAAATTAGGACATGTCACAAAATCAAGTAAACAATCATAAAATAGTTAATTAAACAGTAAAAATTTGATGTCATAAATTAAATTACCTACCCTAACCCAACCAGCACAGTCGTCCAATGGTGGCTGATAGGACACTCGTAACTTTCACCAACCGCCCTCAGGATACTGTTGCAACTGCCGCACACTCTATTCATAAGCGAGGCTACTTTTTTGCGCATGATTGCATGATTGCATAATATAGTACGTGTAAATTATATTTAAATATATATGTATACCCAGTATATCTATGTAGTATAACATCTAACATCATCTGCTCTAATTATACACCTGCCACACACATTTCTGCATCACCCAAAGGTTGACTGTCCGCCTGATAGGTCCGTCTTATGCAATGTATTTGCAGGAAGAATAAATAAATAAAATATTTGAAGCGAGTCGTATGTCGTGACAAAAATTAAGCTCAATGAGTGCAGATCTTTTTGAGTTTTTGAAGTTAACTTGGTTAACTTGGTTAACCGACTTAACTTTTTTAAGTATAAAGATTAGATGATATTAGAGTCCAGTCTATATTCGGTAGCTGTAGAGCATTATCGTTTTATCGATAAACTATCGATCTGTTTTAAACGAATACGGAATAGGAACTGCACGTCTGCACGGGTGGCGTAGTGGTTTAAGCGGTCGCCACGCCGCTCACGACTACGCTGAGTGTTGTGGGTCCGATCCAACATGTGTGATCCACAAATTGTTGTTCTGAGTCTGGGTGTTCTTTGTGCCCGTTTCACATAGGATATATTCCTAATGCGGGAATTGTCCTTTTATAGAAAAAAAATAGAAAAATCTCCCGACCAACAAACATCGAATAGTTGTAGAAATGCCTCCATTATTATAATATTAGAATAGATAACAATACACACAGTTAGTCGTACCTTTATAATTAAAAAGTAATATTATTAAAATGCTTTAATAACTCAATAAAGTAACCATGACATCTGTTTATGTAAAAATACGAACGAAGGCATCTGCTGTATTGAAATGAAACAGTTTTCAAAGTTTTTGTTTGCGCATTGTTGGTGTATGTGCAAACACACTAAGTTTATAAAACAATACGATCAATACACTCATTCTACATTCCAACAAACCTGCATTTGCTGCGATGTGACGAACTATTTCCAATTTAGATTTTAACTGCGAATTATGCGTTATCCGCACGACGCAGTCTAGTCAATATACATCACATCAAGTAGATACACTCCAATTAAAAGTAAAAAAAAATAAAACTTTACTCTCTCAGAAACATAGTTTGTAGCATTCAGCGGGTAATGAGTATCATTTGCTAACTTTTTTAATACAATATCGGAAATTGATCGTTGGTTATTGCGCTATACAAAGGTAGACGAGCTATCCTTTGCCCTTGTTACTAATAAGTATAAAAAAGGAGGATGTTCGGAGTAATGCTGCTGTCCATTGGACTAAATTACTTTAAGATTACTACTTTCATAGGAGTTTCGTCTCTATTTTTATAAGAAAAAAATAATGTTTCGAAAGTTCACATTTTAAATTATCTTGCGCATTTTGCCGCTCAACCTAAGTTGACAGATACAGATCTGCTAGGACATAGTGTTGTTATATTTATTACATAATATTCATAAAACGAGAAATATTCATAAATATATTTAGTAAATCCTTTTACATAATTATATGTTCATACCCCGATATTATTTTATTTTTTTGGAGTATGCACATTTTGAACGTAGATATACTTAAGATAATAAAGTTTGTTTACTGCACGTTGGTACATTGCAAACAAAAACCGCAGTAACTACAGCCTTCGATATTTCGCACGTGATTTGAGATCGTATCGCCCTTCACAGTCCGCCTGTAGTAAATTCGGAAGTGCAAAGGACATTGTCTGGCAACACACTGGTTTAAAAAAAGTTTGCCAAGTTATTACATTTATATAAATATATACTTTACGTCTACAGTAAAGTTGTATCTTATTATTAATGTTGCCGCATAATTTTTATATTAATAATGTTTACTTAAATATTCGAAATTTCAATTTTTTTTATTGCCGAAATTAGATATTTTAGAAGGGCGTGCAAGTCTTAACTTATTGATGCATAGGTAGGTCCTATTTAGCTTAGTAAGTTTTTATTTACTATGTATTTATCTCCTCCGTTTTTTGGGAGCAGGAGTTCTTTGCATAATTCAACTGCGTAAATTGCCTACTTACCATAACAATGGCATAGCAGACCATATAGCGCAAAATGTCACACCAGTCAGTGACCTTCTATAGAACAATAATGACGCGTGGGTCAACAGTTTCCACGTCCGTCCGCATTTTACCGACAATGATTAACTTTATGATTTCTTTTATAATATTACCATTGGTCTATATTTCTAATTCAAAGTTTTCATTTGTTTCAGGAAGTGTCTCAAAGCCGAGAAGTCGGAGATCCCTTGAAACATCACACCCCAAGACTGAAAATTTACTGTCTTCCAAAGTATCCCCTAAAGCTACTTTAAATATATCATTTGGAATAAAATCAACGACACTAAAATCTTCACCTATAAATTCCACGCCTCAAAAAACCTATGAAAAGCGCAAAACTCCTGAAGCAACCTCCAAACCTAGTTACATACCTCTTTCCAAGAAATCCGTTGATAGAAATATTCGTACTTCGACGTCACCATACAAGCAGGACTTAGCTAGAGAAACCGCATCTAAAACAGATAAATCGAAAGTGGAAGTACCTAGAAATCGAAATACACGCAAAAGTCCTGAAAAAGCCAAGAGTGACACAGAAGGTAATCGTATCGATCGAAGACATCGAGCTCAAAAAGATAGTGAAAGTCTTAGCGAAAAATATCATTATTCTAAGAAAAGACTGACTAGTATAGAAAATAATTCACCAAGAAAAACAAATGACACTAAAAATGTTTCGCCTAAAAATGTAATAAATGTTAATTCTCAAGCGAATCAGGATACAAATGTAATTGCTTGTTTGAAAATTTGTTTTGAAAATTCTAATACTCCTTCTAAGATGTCTACGCTTCACGAAACAGTTAGACCACACAGCTCTAGACTTTCGCAGGAGATGGACAGCTTAGCTGCGTTGACTAAACAGACATTAGATAGGGTTAACAAATTGTCGAATAACTTAACTAGTACTAAGATAAATTTAGACGCATCTGAGCCTCGTTTCGACTCTTTATTTACGCCAAAAGCCGAAATGAAAAATAATAATCACGGATATAATTATGGGTTATTAAACGAAAAGCCCTTAATTAACAGAGGAGTAACTGAACGATTAAGAGATATAGACACGGCAGCTCAGAGACTGATTGATTTTGAAAAACAGAGTGCAATGTTTTCTGATCTCAATAACGATACGTCTAGTCAAAATCGCCGTCACGATACTTCGTCGATGTCATGTAGTCATACGCCCGTGTCTATTTTAAAACGAAAACCTATTCACGAAGATGTTGTTGCATCCAGTTCCGCTAATCATGCTATTGCATCTCCCCCAGTAACATTTTCACCTAACGTTGTCGAACCACGAAACGGTCGACCTGATAACAGACAACGTCAAGGTATTTTGAAGAAACGTCGAAGTTTAGATGAGTCTCAAGTAGCACGAAGAAGATCATGCAGCCCAGAAGTTTCTTTTGCTGAAGATGGAGCTTCAGAAATAAGCAAATCTATTTTGAAAAACAGAAGATCGTCTTTGGAAGATGTTGTAAGAAACCGATCACCGGATGGCCAAATCCAAGGCATCTTAAAAAGAAAATTGAGTAGAGAAGAAGAACACCAGAACGATGATGTCTCTCAAGGTTCGCCCGAACCTCATGGAATTCTAAAACGGAAGTCTAACTCTAGTTCTAGCAGTAGTACTGCCTCATCTCACGTTTCAATTGCTCAAGCTGTATTGCTAGCAGCGGCGGGGGGTGCTGAGATTGTTGATGACGACAAAGAAATTGTTAGACCTATATTAAAGAAGAAGAGTTTTTCTGAAGAAAGACCTTGCCTGGATATTGTTCCATCTGAAACACCCAAACCGATTTTAAAGAAAAAATCAGTAGAACACGATGATTATGATTTCGACCTTCCTAAGAAACCGATCCTAAAGTCATCAAAAAAATTATCCGGAGACGAAGGACATGCTTCTAGTTTCGATTTGAGCGAAGACGACCGAAGCTCCCGAAGGCCTTCGCTTCTCAGATCCAGGACATCTGACCATTCGGGTTCGGAATGTGAAGCTACGGTTAGACCTATTTTAAAGCAAAGAGGTTCGAGTTTAACTAGGGAACGTAGCCAATCGCCGCGCCCACGACTCTCTTTTTGCGCGGACAACGATGCGAACATTATTAGTGTGACGAATTTCAGTTGCGACGCGAACGACTTGTCGGCGGCTGGACCGCGACGAGGCTTAAATATCGTGCCCGCACCTAGTCAGGAAGATAGTTATCCTTGTGCAGTGCTAAGACGTAGGAATCTTCGTCCTAAGTCAAACCCGCGATCAAAGAGTCTTGCTTGTGATGTGAATGATGAATTACTGTCAATTCTAAACAACCGTAGATTAAAGGTGGATGAAAATTGTGAAAACGGATTTTATGAACCGTGGAAACTCGTTGACCACAACGACATTGGAGAGGATAGCAAAGAAAAATCCTTTCCTTCAATTGCATCAAGGATAAAGTCAATGGAACAAGCTCTGACTAAAGAGTTGTCACCACGAGACCAACCTTCTACTTCCAGGGCAAAAACTCGCGACAAAGAGCGTTATAAAACTCAACCCATAACCATAGAAGAGATGTGTTCAATAACTTCCAGGTAAATGATACACTGTAGTACTGAGATTTCAACATTTCTATTGCGATAATTCTATTTTGAATGTAACAAAAAGAAACTATTTTAGATTCATAGTAAGTAGCATCTGTCAACATTCGGCGCCCACATCGCAGAACAACTGATTAGCATTTGGTTTGTTGGTTTTTGTTATATTTTACAGAAGTCCTTATAATTGTAATGCTAATCCACCTTCAGACCAAAGCCATTAACTCTTATTTAAATATTTATTTTCACCCGGTAAACCGGTATCCTCAAAAATGTGACTTTATGTTGCAAAAGGTGATTGCGCTTTGTCGGTCGACGTTGGAAGTTCGAATCTAAAAGTTGGCTCTGTTCCATTATTTTGATGAGTGAGCTGCCCACGCTACACGTGGGAGCTCACGGTATGTTTTGTTCGGAACACTACGACTTCGCTGTCCAGATGTTTAGTTAGTCATCGCAATTGTTTTTATTTACTTTCACAGAAATTGCATTATCATAATCTATTGTCATGTACTTAGTGCATACCTTGTGCCTTATGTGTGCCTTGTGCTTTTTTTAAGAATATGTCACTTTTTAATTGAAACGTTAAGAGTTCAAACTGTAAACCCGGTTTCAATCTCTGTAGGTTAATCTTAACTATAATGATATGAATGATATGAATCTCTTTTAATTAGATGTTTGATGGAATCCTTACACAAAGATCGATGTTAATTTCTTGTTTTTCGCTTGTCTGACATCATCGCAGTAGCTTCAGTTCAGTTTTAATCATGTCAGCGTAAGAATTAAATTTGGATAGTGGCGAATCAGACACGTGAAAAAGTTAATGTTTTGTTAAAATTGTCTTTCTGTGCTTAAATTTGCAACTATGCGCCGATGTCTTTGGGATTGTCAACGCAGAGAATTGTAAGTAATCTGACTGCTACCATAACAAAACCACTAGTCAACAGTAATCCGCTGGGGTAAAAGAAGCCGATTTACTATATGTATAATAATCGATTTTAATACAATATTGGTGATGTTCCACAATACTATTAGTAATGTCTTCTTCTTATATTGTATGCAGTTATAATCGATGATTTTAAATTTAAGTTTTAGTCAGCTTAGAACAATATATATATAGACCCTTTGCAATACCTCACTGAAATCTTAACACACAAGTTTTCTCAGTTATTTGTGTTAATATGCTTCTTGTTTGTTTGAAAAGTTTTCTTTTACACATTTAGGTGCTATAAACAAGCTCCGAAAAGGCCGTTAAAACGATTTCTATCACAATTCTACATGTAATTAATTATGGTCTGAATATAGTTTGTATAGCATAATTTTGATGGTTATTTACGATCTATCTTTTTTTGTACAAAATATATTTTCGTAAAAAGATATTTTGTGACACACCACACTACACTAGTTGGCATTATCTTCTTAGCAAATGCTACCGCATTATTCGTGTGGAGTTTGGCTATGTGGCTAAGAACTATAAATAGAAAAACTCCCTTTTGTATCTTTGCTCATGAATTTGATTTCAATTAAGCTACCTTAGGTTCAAATTTCTAACTACTCGGGTTTTAATATTACATTATTTTTAACTGTCTTCCTCTTTTTCTGTTTAAAAATTACTATTACACAGCACTGAGTTTTTGTTAATTAGTAGTAAACAATATCAATCCAACAATGCATTTGCCAGTGCCAGTGGCGTCTTGATGACGGAAATAAGCGCTTTAGCGTTAGTGGGTCAAGCACTATTTCTGGCTCTGTTGTGCTCTGAAACACGCATGAACAGTTTAGTGACAGACTCTGCAGGACAGATCTACTGCTTAGCTTCCAAAATAGTTAATAGTATTAATCGAAATGCACTTTTCTTCTGATCACATCGTTTCAAATGTTACTTTTATACGGTGCTCAGAATGTATTTTGTTTATGTAAAAACTTATAAAATAAAGAAAGAAAAATCATTGTATACCTTTTGTCCATCCTGAAGATGTATTCTTTACACATAGTTTTTAGAATTGCTATTGATTTTAACAGATAACTGTTAAAGCAAAATCAGACAGTTATATTTAGATTATATTGTCCATGGTGTCAAACTTGCCTAAAACGATAGATCGACAACGTCGATCCAATCATTCACTCTATATTTCATCGAAATTTATAAAAGCAAGTTGAAACAGCAACTATCTCTTTCTTATGTACGGCCGTGTTATACTTTAAAGCGTTTCTTTTCTCATTTCGCAGTTTGGAGCCGGGCCAAGCGCGTTTTCAAGCGTTCGGCCCAGCGGGCTGTAGTTTTCCGAGTCAATCCGTTGAGTCCGGTGTTGCTCCCTCTGCTGGGGGCATATTTCCCCTTGCGGGGGATCCCGAAAGAGACCCCTTCATAGATTACGAGAAGGCACTGGATTCGCCACCATTTGGTTTGAGTTCATTCAATGCAAAGTCGCCACCGGTTACCAACTGTCTCTCAGACAGTGGAAGTGCCAAGGACGATAGTTACGGAGAAGCTACTTTTCTAGACTTTGAGAACATTGGCGTTGACTCAGATAGAAAACAGTCGACATTGGATGCGATAGAGCAAGAAGTGAACAAGGTTCGAGTCGCCCTTGATGAAGACAGCCGTGCTTTGGAGGCCGATGAGAGACAACAAGCGGAGGCTGATAACTGGAGTTTAAATGTTTCTTGTGATAGTGGTGTTTACAATCGGGCCTCCTCCAGAGATTCCGGACCACATTCCGGTAAGTGTTTCAAAGATTTTTTCCTAATGATGTAGAGCAAACAGTTAATATATTAAACTCGTAAACTTATTTTTATCGAAACCGGCTTGCAGTATGTTAATACGAATACGCATAGTTAAGGTTATTTAGTGCGTATACGAGGCACGACTGTCAGTGTCATAAAATAACATGTGAAAGCGACTAGTTAGGTCCGATGTAGCCGGCGCGATAACTTGTGGTTTGTTTACGTTCTGTTTGGTAAAATTAGATTAACCGAATGCGCTGCTATTCGTATTAGGTCGTTTTGAAAATAAACACAGTATAACCTTGCAGATGTCTTTCGGCCCACTTATTTGGGTCAATGTAATGCACGTGTTCTTTGTCAAAACGTTATTGCATTAGTTACAGGTAGATTCGTCAGATAATGGGTGATTAGTGGTTTTTCACCAAATATAATAATATTGATGTGATAAAAAAAATGTTTTATACTTAAATACCTAGTACAAAAAATACTTTCATCAAATTTCAGGTGAAGAGCTCGGTTTGATTGAGAGACAGGAGATAGTCGAAAATCACACTACCAACAGCAGTAGTAACGAGTGGTCTCCATCCTCTATTGAGCGTGGTCTTCTTAACATGGATCGCGAAAGGAAGTCTACAGAAACGGAGGTTCTAAAAAGCCCTGAAGAGGACAGGAGTGACGATGAGGACAGAGAGCCTAGCGCCTTCACACTGGGTCTCGCTAAGAGCAACAGTGTGGTTGCTAGAGCAAGCATGTGGCAGCAATTGCAGCAGCAGGCGAAAGGTACGTTTTTTTAAGTTTCTCATATGTCTGAGTAATAATTGCTATACACGTCATTCACACTAAAACATCCCCAGTGACATCATATTCAGGTTTATTAATAAACTTTGGTTTTCTATATACCGACAGCCTAGCATGATAGGATTTTTTTGCAATACTGTTTATCATTAGTCACTACGAACATGAAATTTGAAACCATTCATGTAGCACACTAGTAAACAAGCTATGACAGCATATCATAGTTATTTGTGTTGCTGATTCCAGGTACACCAAAACCTCTGCTCCGTCACAGTCGCTCCAAGTTGAAGGAAGGTCCTTCAGTTGCGGATAGATTCAAGACCCAGCCGATTTCCTTCGTTGCGATAGAGCAACCCCAAAAGGAAGAATCTACCGAACAGCCGTTCTCTCTCGCTCAGTCCAAAAGTACTGCAAACGTGTTGGACAGGGACGAAGATGGTAAGAGATGTGAATATTCATGATACATTATTTTTTTATAACTATTTGGAGATCTGTTAAAAATCTAGGTAATTTCAATGTTATTAGTATTATTAGTTTTTTTTAATATCGAGGCAAAGGCATGTAAATTTGCATTTTATTCGAAGAAGCTTCCTGTCTTATGTACCGTCGGCTTATGTTTCTTTTTTTGCATGTCCTCGACTACTCTACTATGTGTATGTCCCGGGCTCTATAAACACATCTGCACAATGTTATGTAAATACGCACTCACTCACCGGTGGCAGCTAAGTTAGACGAGGATGATCCAGCGAAGATGTCTCTTTCGGAGAAAATGAAAATGTTCAACGCGAAACTGACTCATAAGCCGCCGATGGCCGGTTTGCCCAGGCCTAAAGAAGATAGAGTGCCGAGAACCTCCCGCCTGAGGACAATGCCTGTGTTGGCCAGTCAAGTACAGGAAGCAATGGAACAAAATGAGAGGCTCACCAAATCTTTGACGCACGAAGATGTGCCGCGCACTAACGACTTTCAATTAAAAATGGAATTATTCCGTTCGGCCAGCGCAAAGAATACATCGTTAGAGTATATAATGAGGCAGAACTCTAAGTTTAGGAGCTTAGGTCTGATTTTGTTCTTATTTTGAGTTTGATATTGTCGTTTGCTTGAACAGTTTCGCTTCTCTGGGTTTTTAGTGTTACTAATATTGCTGTAATGTAGTTGGCATGTGTTAGGTATGCGCATGCTATGTTACAAATGACGTATTTGCATGAATCGATTTTAACACAATTATGTTTTGGTATTTTGTAGTAATAAAATGGTTGTTGTGGTTGCTTGTTATAGCAAAGAATTCAATAGGCCTCGTATTATTGATATACCAACACCTTAAGAAATGCGAAACGGATTGCATGCATCATTAAAGGCGTTGCGTTTACCTAGCGTCGAACGAAGACTTACATTTGGATATTATTTAAATCATGCTGAATATTACCCAAGAGTATTTCAATGTTTCACACATTTTTAAATACTGGGTTTTGTGTATTAATTGTTAAGGCAACTGGATATGTGTCAAAATTCAAACCGAGCTATGACCGCGACATAGATACGAAACAAGGACGGGACGATAGAATTCGTTTATTTTAGTTTTCTAACTAACAAGAATATTTTAAACTCATTATTTACCCCTGTATTCGTTTTGTAATCGTCAGAGACGATGTATGCTAAATATATAATATGGTCTCAGAATCGACTGATGCTGTTACTAAATCGCACTATTTAATTCCCTGTAAACACTTAAATCCCCAACTAAAAATATATTACTTACTTATCCCCGCCTAGATCCGTCGAATATACCGCTAGTCTGAACTCTCTACGCAGCTTCACTAATATGATATATGACTGGTTTTAGCATTGCTGCACTCTGGGCGCTTTGTAAATAAAGGGTTCATGATATGCAGAAATGGAATGTTCTATTTTTGACTAAGCCGTGCATGTTTCAGATCTGGACGACGACTCGCCGTCTGAACGCGCGCAGAGAATGATAACGCCTGAAGTGCGCGGGATTCTGAAGTCTGGATCTACTGTAGTGCCCAGACCAAAAACGCTGGCGAAGGGAGAAAGTTCTGAGGTGTGTACAACGAGAGTATGTACCTATAATGATAATAATATCTTGCTTTTTTGGTGGCGGGTCACTTATGAAGATAACAACGAAGTGGTGCTTGTTTTAAACATTTATGATTTGATTATAATAACTGTTATATAATTACAATTCGAGGGAACTCGTGGTCAAGTGGTAACCGAGTAGATTAACAAATTACAAAGCAATCTGAGCCAGGTCAGTATATAGATGGGTGACCATTCTTATCACATTGAGACCCTTCCGTATCTCGGAGAGCAAATTAAGCCTTCGGCAGTTGCCCTTAGAAGTGCCAAAACAGTCTTTGCAGAAATTCGATATCGCTTCGTACTTATGTTGTGGGAGTCTGATAGCAGTCGCCCAGCGTAAAAAAAAAAAACAAATTCAGCCGAATCGTAGTAGTGTTAATAGTCGACCTCAATCAGGTTTAGGAAAAAGGCTTGGAGGGAGAATTAGTCAATACGAACTTATGACACATTAAATGATTTGTAGGTTTTCCGTGATAAGAAAGAAATGCCGAAATATAATAATAAAAATAGTATTCTGTTGGTATATTTTTCGCAAAAGTGGCATGCGATTATTTTTATTAAAGTAATAGATTAGAAGTAGGTGGTTTTTTTCTTCAATAACAATATTAATTGTAAGCAATGTTTTATAAAATATATAGTCCTCGATTCAAACAGTATCCTTGTTCTAAAAATATTGCTATAAATATGCACGTATGGCGTATTGGTTTAAGCGATCGCCACGCCTACTAAGCTGAGTGTTGTAGGTTCGATCCCCACATGGGACGACACTTTGTGTAATCCACAAATAGTCGTTCTGAGTCTGGCTGTTCTTTGTGTTTTGTCCGGTTTATGTATGTATAATCATGAAAAGAATATAAGAAAGGTTAACTAATCTTTATCTGACGATTTGCTGTAATAAATAAGAATAAGCTAAGCACCACGTGGTAATAATTTGTAGTTGTTTCAAGGATTGTAGAGGGTTTCATTTTAGCAATGCGAGCTTGCTACTAAGTTAGTCCAGAAGCAATCGTCAATAACGTTGCTATAAAAAAACATTTTACACTAAAATAGGTCACAGAAGTACGTACACGAATAGAACATAGTTGTACTGTGTAATGGTCTATAAAAATAGTTCTTAAGGGCGTGGCAGCGTTACTCCATTTCGATTATGAATATACTGGCAGAGGATTGATATATTCGTCATTTATTATTCATCAATTCTAATATCTTTAAAATGTTGGCTTGCTTGAATGAACCTTTCTGCCAGCCTTTTATAACCGTTCTGTCTTAGACTATTTTTGAGTTAGGTTAGATAAAATTACTCTACGTCACGTAAGAGCTAAAGTTCCATTCGATTTATGGTTATTGCATAACGAAGAAAATTAAGATGCATAATGCAATAATCTTTATGAAACCAGTAACCAATATATCTCGTAGGTAGAAGTTACCATTTAATCAATAGTTCGCATAGGATAATACCCAATTCTCACCACCGTGGGAACCACAATTTAGATCATAATGTTTATCTTTGTAAATAAGATCTTGTTTCAAATGTAATAATAATAAAATAAATGTAAAGTTAACATAATACAGTAAACAATTTTTCTTTGAATAATTATTTACTTTATATTTGACCAATGAACACGCTAACTCTCATTTCGCATACATCTGCAATTTTAGCACGTTGCAATCGTCAACATGCAACGATTAGTTTGGAACGATTACAATAATTAAAGTGTAGACGGATTGTTATACCGAACTATTAATGTTTCAATGTCGCGGGCAAAGGTCTATGTTGTGTAATATGTAAACAATAATTTATTTATGATGCCAGTTTGACATGATTGATTGACCTGTGTTTACTTTAGAAATGTGACTCATAATTTCAATGTGTAGTAACTTCTACGTAAATGGAATTAATTGTTTTAATAATTAATTTCGTATTAATGTGTTTGAACGTACGTGGCCAACTGGCTAGGGTTTCGAAACACGTAAAAACTAACTTATGATATTTTACGAACTGAATATATAGAGTTAAATTCAGACTAACGCAAATATACATATTAATGCATGTCGTGTAAGTTATTGCACAGGGCGAGAATAGAGCCCGCGACCGAATCGCAGATTCTCAACGTATTAATAATGACTTTTATTGATATAGAATTGCTAACATCTGCACTGAGCATTGATATTACTAAGCTATGATGTAACTTGTGTTTGATGTTTATTTCCTACAAAATTCAAGTGTAAAACGACCTTAAGAGACCAATACGGCCATACTCTCTATTAATATAAACAACCTTTGAATATTAAACTCGGATCTGCTTTTCTAAATATTTTTTATCTTCTTTTTCAGGGTTTAAAAGATGAGGGCATAGACAGTTCCTCGGACGAAGAGTCTGTCTCAGCTTCAACAGTTTCTTCATCTGAGAAGAGTTGCTCATCTTCCGACAGTTCTGATGAGCAGCCGGATCCAAAGCCTAAGAGATTCCAGCGCAAGCCGAATAAACTAAAGAACTCCAGAACAGAATCTGACCTTCCTAGACATCAAGACCCATTCACACGTCAACAAGATCCGTTCCCTAGACCTCAAGATCTATTTCCTCGTAAGATTCAAATGCCGTGTGCTACTGAACTCAAGGAACGCTTAACTCAAGCCAAGAATCCTGATGTTAAGATCCCTATGCTTGCCAAACTTGGACGTAAACCTTCGGAAGAGTTGAAGAAAGAAGATGATCAGAATAGGTATGTATTTGTCTCCTTCATCAGTTGATCATCAAATGACTGCACGGATGGCGTAGCGGTCGACACGCCGCACACTACTGCGCTGAGTGTTGTCGGTCCGATCCCCATATGGGACGACACTTTGTGTGATCCACAAATTGTTGTTCTGAGTCTGGGTGTTCTTTGTGTCCGTTTCATGTATCTTTGTAAAGTACCTCGCGACTCAGGATATATTCCTAATGCAGGACTTGTCTTTATAAAAAAAATACTTATATGCTAGATTACACAATTACAATTACTTTTAGCTGTCAACTCTGTCATAGTGGAATTACCTGGTGTTATATATATTAGAGTTGATGTACTTAAGCATATAAATGTATAGAAAGTAACTTAATGTAACTTAAAATAGCACCACGCTAACTATCACTTAAAAGTATTAGTGTTTAACAACAAAAAAAATTTTGCTGAATTGCAAAAAGGAAAAACTGCAAGACTTCACATAGCCCATAGTTTGTTTGTTTTATAAATTTCAGTTTTTTCTACTATTACTCTAAGAAATAAAAGTATTAAGGAAACATATTATTACTACATCTTTTTCTTTTTTCAAGGTACAGAAGATTCGTAAAGAAAATCGATGAACCTATTCAGCTGGGCAAGCTGCGCAGGCCAGTGGATAAGCCGCCAGCACCCCTGCAAGAAGCACCTCCTACAGTTCTCAAAATATCAGCTTTAAACCAGGCTGCTAAGGACAAGTTCTTTGGCCTTGATGCTGCGAAGAAGGAGAAAAGTATTGACGAGCTGGCTGCAGCAGTTAGAAAGTACATTCCACCGGTTAGTGTATTTTGTAAATCTGACATCATTAATGAACGAATACATAAAGAATTAATATTATAAATGCGAAAGTGTGTCTGTCTGTCTGAGTAGGATTTAGTGTATTAGCATTTTTTACTGCTCCTAATTTCTGCAACAAAACATTGAAGCTTTAGGTTTTCACACGTCGTATTTCGTCGTCGTTATAGAGAGAAGCAGAACTGTTATGCAGATCGTGAATATATAAATAAATAAATAAAATAAGTCTGCATATGTCTTCATGGAAGTTCTTGTAGGAGGCCTTTGTCGAGAGACAAGATGCCACAGATAAACCGATTATCGATGCACTATAAAGACCATAACCAGGGGTAACAAGTATTAATGTAAATAGTATAACATGACCCGTGACACGTCTGCTCGTTTGCCCCCTATTTCATAAAAAATATATGTAATAATAAGATTGTAAAGAGTAACAGTAATAAAGGCTTATTTTATTAAACAGCATCGATATTGAATCCAAGCACCTGATGTGTGGCTAAATGATTTATTGGTTACCCACAGATGAGCAAATCAATGTCGATACACACAATGGAGGTGCCAGGTTCGGGCAGCGACGGAGAGAGCAGTGGCGGTCGTGAAGTGCGACACATCAACAGCAGAGTTCGACACAGGTCAGTAACATTTTGTTTTTTACTAAGCAATGACATATGTGTAATAAATATTAATAGTGAGTCAACTCCTTTGATAGACCGCTAAATACCTACGAGACTGTCTCGACAAAAAATTTGCAAGGGTTGTCATAAAAAGAATCCTTAGATTAGACAAAAGCTTGCGCTTGTCTAATCTAAGGATTGCAGGTAGCTAGGTAAAATAATAATTATAATAGTACTACTGTGTGTTAATCAAAGATATCAAATATCTATAAAGGTTAGCAAGCGAAGCCAGCCCGAACTCTGCTCTCTTTCATAGCGTTGATCCTCTAAGTAGCTGAGTTGACTCACTAATAGTAATTTTTACACATATGACAATGATTTGAATAAAAATGGCAGATAGGACATTCTTAAAATTTATAGGTTCCTAGAGGAAACTATTTTGGATTCATTATATCGTTCTAAACAATATGCAGGTATAACAAAAAGGTGTTTCCCACATTTAGGTACGGAGATATGGTTGAGTTAACAAGGGGGGTTTCCACACGTAAAAAAAATATAGGTGCATATTTCTTAAAATAAAATATGATTTAGTTTTTTATTTTTTAATGCAGACCGTTTTAATAAAATTGCACTTTCCATTGACATTCTTGGTTATTTATACCTTTAGTTTCAGTCATGTCAGCCCTCTTTCACTTAAATATTTTTTTTTATGGTTATTTTATCATTAATGTTTCCGTTTTTTAATAATTTATAGGTAGCTTAGCGTTTACGTTACTCACGAGGTCTATACAAATTGAAGTTCAAGGCCGCAAAGTGAAGTGTTACTATGTATATACAACATAATTATTATAGTAACACTTCAATTTACGGCCCTGTAATTTAATTTTATCGCTCTGTATAGATGTGAAATCTAAAGTAAAGTGATTACTTTCATAATAAATTTCAAAAATGCAAGATTTTATTATTTCTTAAAACTTGCCATAGAGTTTATCAAGATAGGAAAGTCTATGAAATAAATGTTATGTTCTTTATACTCAGAAGTTTATCTATTCATCTATGCTGTAGCAGTAGATATGTTTTGTAATATAAGCAATATTTAACTTTGTGTGCATCATGTGTATGCCTCTAAAGTCGCCGTTCCACCTCTCAGTCAGATAATGACTATATTCTTTCCGGTTTAAGCACTATACGAACATAAACAATTTCCTATGGGATACAGGCTGTACCCTGGGTGGAAATGGAACTCATGACCTACGATTATTGACGAAGTTCTAATGATGATGAAGAGAATGTCTTCACGGATGGCGTGGTTTAAGCGGTTGCCACGCCGCTCATTACTGCGCTTAGTGTTGTGGGTCCGATCCCCACATGGGACGACACTTTGTGTGATCCACAAATTGTTGTTCTAAGTCTGGGTGTTCTTTGTGTCCGTTTCATGAATATTTGTGAAATCCCCCGAGACACAGGATATATTCCTAATGCGTAACTCCCGCATTAGAAAAACCTAAAAAAAAGATGAATATTGGAACTCTTTCTTACGTTTTTAATTCGGTTCATCATTAAAGCATATTTTTTTTTGTTTTATTAAGATACTGTAGGTTTTAGGTGTAGGGTAGCTTTCAACTTCATTCTTACTTTATTTAATGAAACTTCAAAATCAGTTTTCACAGCGCAATGCCGCGTTTAAAAGCTTGTTTTAACTACAGTACCCTCAAAATACAAAAAGTCCATATCCGCTTTTAAGCTTTCGCGTTCCATGATAATTAATATTATTTAACGGGAATTAACGCGATCTCTTATTTAGGGTATTACATACCTCTGGTTTGCCTGACGTTTCGACCAGGTTGCACCGGCCGTGGTCACAGGCTGACTCATAAGGTATGTAATACCCTAAATAAGAGATCGCGTTAATTCCCGTTAAATAATATTAAGTCCATATCCGTTTTCTTCTTTTCCAACAATATATCTCGAAACACCCAGTCAATGTTCACTGTATGATTTATATATACATAGCTCTGGTTCCGTTTAACTTAGTTAACTTTTTCAAACAGATTTTAACTGCATGACCTTGAAATGCTTAAGTTACATTTATGGTCAAAACAACTGTTACACAGCGCGACATCACCTTACTAACAATTTCATCCAAATTATGTATTTCAATGTTGCAAATGTAATATGTGACCTTGGTATGCAACACGTGGCACAACCGAATTATCACAGACACATATTGTAACCGAAATAATTACTCAGAACTACAAATATACGTATATTAATATGACGTAAGATGTGTGTTAACACAGTTGTTTAAATGTGTTATATGTAGATAGTTCGTATTAAAACGTCATACGTAAGTATGGCTAGCGGTAAACTTACGGTTTATGATCATTGCCTGCAGTTTCTAAGCGAAAGCATAATAAACAAACTGAGAAACATACATACTTTCAAAATTAGTTAGGACCTATCCTAATTAAAATTGAAATTGCTCCTTCACAGGATGAACAATATTTTAATAATCCCTTTGAAAACACCTGTTACCTGCGATAAATATTTCTAAAAATATCACGCCATCAACCTCATTAAACTATCTTGCAAATATTCATCATTGACCCCCCTAAATGATTGTACATTGATCTATTAGTAGTCTAGTAGTATCTAGTAATTGCGTGTTAGATTATGTAAACTATGTATTTTTAACTGACTTAAAAAAAGAGGAGGTTTCTCAATTCGGTTGTATTTTTACCCGACTGCCAAGTACCATATCTTGTAAGGTTGTTTATAAACTTCTTTATTACTTCTTATCTTCCAAATGGCTGGATGGACTTCGACAATTAATGTATTGTTTTGTCCGTCTAAAAAACCCAAGTGTCCTTAAATAGCTGTTTGAAAAACCAAACCTATCGAGTGAGGTATCAAAATCAAGAAAATTAAAATAGATTTACAAAAATATGGTGGTAGTTTATGCGACTGTTGTGCTGAAGTCTCGGGTTCTCGGGAAAACTTGACACAAACCCTATACCAACGCGCCTGGCCAGCGTGGCATAGTAGGCCAAAACCTTATTTTTAAGGAATTTTAAGTAGCGCTATACCAAATATCCAAACAAAATATGATGCAAAAACGAATCGGAGAGTTTGTCTAACATTAAGATATTTAATCTTTAAATAACCATAAATAGCGGCTTGTTAATTTTAATGTCCGTACAGACTTTGCTGTTTGTACGACCGTGAAGTGTCACACAGTGGGCAATCGTAAGCAACTGTCGACATCGTGCTGTGACAACTATTTAGTATCAGTTTTTATTGCCTATTGTAGTAGGACCCCTACAGAGAATACTAACTGCTCGTTGCTACTAAAGGAATCACTATACCTGCCAGAATTTTTTTCTCACTGATGATTTGTAAACGAATTTTAGCTAAATAAATAGTAATAGGTTTATTAGCAATTAAAATGAACTACCTTGTTTTCAAACCATCTTAGGTATATTAAATTCGTATAAATGTTTTAATTTATAAATTTGTTAAGTAACATACATAATACATTGCTTATGTGTTGGAATGGTTTAATTTGTGCAGAACATTTTATTGTGCTGACGTAATATGTTCTACATTATTTTTTATTAATTTAAAATACTAATTCCCGCTTTATGTTGTTTTTACCATTTAGTTTTTTGCATTATATTGTATTTTTATTTCTATTAGTTTTTCGTACTTGGTATGGTTTATTTATTCAGGCTTGTCCTATTCTATTGTCCATCTAACTGCTGGGTAGTTAATCACAATTGAGTAAGTGATACGAATCCTCGCATGACATGTATAACATGTTGTCTTTATTGTATTCTTTGATTTATAAGGTGAACGCTTTTGAGGAAACCGCGCACATGTTATTTCAATCAAAACCATATGAGCGATGACTCTTTATCGTGGTACACAACCATAAAGGTATTCGCTAACCGTTAATCAGAGTAACAACAGACGAATAATTTCTCACATGCCTTTCGATTTAAAAAAATATGCGCGTAAATCCCACCCAAGAGCTTAAATAAAAGCAGAGGTCTCTGAGCTTCCAATATTACCCGGTTGGCTCAGTTACAAGCCAAAGCAACTTCTTGCTTCTATACACTCGTTACGATAGGCCACTGAGCAAAATATGTAAAGTGGTTACGTTTATCATTACTCTTTGATAACCGACAATATAAACCGACTGCACGGATGGCGTAGTGGTTTAAGCGGTCGCCACGCCGCTTCGCCGTTGTGGGTTCGATCCCCACATGGGACGACACTTTGTGTGATCCACAAATTGTTGTTCTGAGTCTGGATGTTCCCTGTGTTCATGTATGTTTTTAAAGTCCCCCGCGACACAGGATATATTCCTAATGTGGGAGTTGTCTTTTAAAAACTGTAGCCTGACGGTCTAGTGGTTAGTGACCCTGACTGCTAAGCCGGAGGTTCGATTCCCTCACAGGACAAATATTGTGTGATGGTCTTAGCCTATAGCCTTCCTCGATGAATGGGCTATCTAACACTGAAAGAATTTTTCAAATCGGACCAGTAGTTCCTGAAATTAGCGCGTTCAAACAAACAAACAAACTCTTCAGCTTTATAATATTAGTATAGATGAGTACGGTCATTTGTTCTGTGTCTGGGTGTAATTTATTTATTTAGAAATATTTAAGTATGTTTCAGCAGATTGATTACCATAACACAGGGTCTGCCTAGTTTAGGACTAGACTGCCGTGTTTGAGATGTGTGAGGTTATTATTATAATTCGATATTTCGCTTCGAAAATCCCCAACAATATAACAAGTCTATAATGGCTGAATGAAGCTCGTAATAGGTTAAGGAAAGTTATTAATCTACCACTTTGCGACAAAGGAAATCGTGTGTAGCAGTGCATTAAATTAATCTGACTGTTATTTTCTTGAGGATAGATTTCACTTTTGTTTCCATCGTTTATTTTTACGTCATTTATTACGTTGATTAAATTTGTTGTGTGGAACGTTGGTTTTAGATTAGGTTCTTATTATTGATGTTAATCGAAAACGATTTTTTTTTTAGAAATGAATATGTGACGCATAATTATATCATTGTAGGCTGCTGTTTTAATATCGAAATTGAAAATTGTCTTCGTGTATTCTTAAAATAAGATACTATGATCAATTACAAAGTTTAGAAGGATGTCTTGAACCGCGATTGCTGCTAGGTTTTTAGTATTCTTTGAAGTCGGTTCAACTTTATTTTAAAGGATTTATCTTGTCAGTTAATATAGTTTTATTCAAACCAGCCAACTTTGTCTTAGTTTCCCACGCATTATCTTGACGGAAAACTAATCTAAAGTAATTTCATGGCATGATTCAGTATGTCCGGGCAATCAGGTCCGGTCTAACCTCACGTTTGTCACGTCCTCGGATTTCCATTGCTGCCGCCTGCACACGCTTGGAGCTTTCAAAGCTAAACGCTTTACGCTTGTTTGACTTAAGAAACCTGTCAGCTCGAATGCTGTACTACGTCACTGCTTCAACAAGAGCCCGT